CCGGTGACGCGGCAGTTGACTTGTGGTCGGGATGTATGGGCGAAGTAGGCTGACGTGGAACGAAGGGCTGATGTACCAGTCGGTTGGCAACAGTAGGTGTGCGGTGACGGGTGTGATCATGTGACTGATTTGGAATGGTCCACAGTAGCGTGGTCGTAATTTTGGTACGTCGGGCAGTCGCAGATTTTGCGTGTCGAGTAGCACGTAATCTCCAGATTGATACGTGACGGGGCGGCGGTGGCGATCAGCGTTGCGCTTAGCGATGACGTTGGCCTTTTTTATTGCTTCGGCGGCTCTGGCGCGGGCAGCTTGCAGGATTTCGGCGAATTGTTGTGCGCGTGGCGTTGGGTTGTCCGGACTCGGTGTCATGGGCACTGTGGGGTTCTGCCCATAGTTCAGGTAGAACGGGGACTGCTGCGTCGTGGCTGATGTGGCGTTGTTGTACGCGAACTCGATCAGCGGCAGCTGCTGCTCCCAGGTCGTGGGGTCGTCGCACGTGGCACGAATCAACTGCTCCATCGTCTGATTCGTCCGCTCCGTTTGGCCGTCGGTCTCGGGGTGGTACGACGAACTGAACTGTAGCCTGGTCCCGAACTGCTCCCAGAGGTTCTTCCAGAAGTTGCTGGTAAATTTCGTGTCCCTGTCGCTGATAATTGCTGCTGGTATCCCGTGCAGGCGAACAACGGCTGCGATGAACAGGCGAGCGGTCTCCTCGGCTGAGATCGACTTTTTGCACGCAGCGAAGTGTGCCATCTTCGTCAGCCTATCCACGACGACCATCACCGCGTCGTTACCCCCAGGGTTCGAAGGTAACCCTGTGACGAAGTCCATGGTTACTTGCTGCCAGGCGCGTTCGGGCGGTGGGATCGGCTGCAATTGACCCGCCTTCCGCTTCCTTGAACTCTTCATCACCTGACACGTCGGGCACGAGCCCACGTGCTGCTGTACGTCGGTCAACAGCTCCGGCCAGTAATAGTACCGCTGCAGTTGCTGTCGCGTTTTTTCTACCCCGAAATGTCCCGAGGTAATCCCGTCGTGTGCCTCCTGTAGTAGCAGCTCCCTCAGTAGTGAGTACGCGGGTACCCAAATGCGGTTGGTGCCTGCTTTTACGTAATAGACTCCTTTTGCTTCTGCCAGTTGCTGTGAATTTCCGGTCGTGAAAAATGGGTCGGTGCGGTATCCGTGGGTGAATAGACCAGTTAAAAGCGGGTTGGTCTGGGCGAGTAGGATGGCATGGAGTTGGGCGGTGGGGCGGGTGAGAGCGTCGGCGATGTTGGATGCGCCCTTTTTGTACGTAACGGTGTAGTGAAAATTGGACTCGAGATAGTCCAACCAGCGAATCTGTCGTGGGTTGAGATTCGGTTGGGCGCGAAGATACTGTAGCGAGCGGTGGTCTGTCCGTACTGTCACGTCGGCGCCAGTCAGGTAACATCGCCAAACCTTGAACGCGTGCACGATCGCTAGCATCTCGCGGTCGTGTATCGGGTAGTTACGTTCGGGCGGGTGTAACTTGCGGGACTCGTACGCGATTGGCTGGAGGCCGTTCCCGAAATCCTGCAACAGTACTGCTCCCACAGCGATGTCACTTGCGTCGGTGACGAGCTCGAACGGACGGTGGGGATCTGCAATGTGAAGGACGGGCGGGGAGCACAAAATATTTTTGAGGGCCGAGAAGGCAGCTTGCTCTTTCTCCCCCCACGTGTACTCAACCCCCTTCCTCAGCAGGTCAGTCAACGGGGCAGTCAGCTTCGCCATGTCGGGGACGAACCGGCACACGTAGTTGACGAACCCCAGGAAACTCTGCAACTCGGTCAAGTTGGTCGGCGCGTGCCAAGCCTGAATCGTCGCAATTTTCTTCGGGTCTATTTCCACTCCTGCAGCTGAAATAACATGTCCCAAAAACTCCAGGCGGTCCTGTAAAAACTCACACTTAGATGCTTTGGTCAGTAGGCGGTTCTCACTCAGGATTTTAAAAACTGCAACGATGTCTTGTAAGTGCTGTGCTCTGTCAGGGCTGTAAATCAGTATGTCGTCCAGATAAACGATGACGCACTTATCTAAAAGCGGGCGGAATGCTTCGTTCATGGTCATTTGGAAAGTGGCGGGGGCGTTGGTCAGTCCGAATGGCATGACGGTGTATTCGAAGGATCCGTAGCGTGTTCGGAATGCGGTTTTAGGGCAGTCGGGTGGGTTGACGCGGATTTGGTGGTAGCCTCCTCGGAGGTCGATTTTCGAGAAAACCCGGGCTGTGCGCAGTTGGTCGATCAGTTCGTCGGCTCGTGGGATGGGGTAACGGGATTTAATGGTAACCCTGTTCAGTGCCCTGTAGTCGATGCACATGCGAAAACCCCCGTCCTTTTTCGGTGTGAACAGTATTGGTGCGGCGAAGGGCGACGAACTGGGGCGAATGAATTCCTTTTCGAGCAGGTAATCGAGCTGCTTCCTTAGTTCGTCTAGTTCGGGTTGGGTCAGTCGGAACTGTCGCTGCACTGTTGGCTGTGCCCCCGGTTCCAGTTCTATCCTGTGATCGTGCGGTCGCTGAGGTGGCAGTCCCGTCGGTAAGTCATCCGGGAAAATGTCACTGTACTGTTTTAATAGTGCCGCCAGGTCACTCGGTACGTCGGTCAGCAGTTTCTGTAAATCGCCCCCCTTGTCTGCTGCCTCGGCTTCCCGAATGTCAACCGCGTACACGTCAGCTCCGGCCGCAACAGCGCGTTTCATCGTGATCGCGTTGACACGCACCGACGAAGACTCAGGCGAGCCCCAGCGAGGTAAGGCGATGTTGTTACCGTTTACTCGCACGGTGCAGTCACTCGTCGTCCAGTCAATTCGCGGATTGTGTCGTCGCAGCCAATCACGCCCGAGTAAAATGTCGGTTCCGTCGAGGGTCGTTGCGAGCATTTCCTGACTAAACGTGAAGTTACCCCCGCATCGAATCCGAACTCGATCTACGCGTTCCCGTATTGCCAGCGGCGTGCCGTCTACCAGTCGTGCGTCGATCTCAGGTAAGCATCGGTCTAGTGGCAGTCGCAGTTTGCGTGCTGTAGCAGTGTTAATGAGGCTGTGGCTGGCTCCCCCGTCTACGAAGATTTTAACTAAGTCCGTCCCAATTTTCCCACTGAGCAGTATAGGGCTATCTACCGTGGTACCCTCCTTATTCGGCCGGGTGTGGTCGATTGCGTGAACCGGCACAATCACTCGGTGAGGGTCGGTTGGGTCGGGCGAGCGGCGTGACCTGTCAGTAGAGGGCCCGTCTGCTACTGACTTCCAGCGTTTCCCTGCTGCTTGGTCTGTGTCTGCTGCTCAGCTTCCCCCTTTCCCTTAGCGTTTTCCGGGTATTCGCTCTTGCGATGTCCCGGCCGATTGCACGCAAAGCAGCGCCCTTTGAATGGTGCGGCAGCGGCATTTGCGGCGACGGCGCGTATCGTGGCGCTTTCGTTCGTCCCACGAGGCCGATGTCCCCAGTTGTTGTTTCCGTAGGACCCCGGTCTCGGTCGGCGAAAGAAGTCGAGCTTCTCCGCCATAGCGAGAATTTCCTGAAATTCGGTGACGCCGCGAAGCTGGACTTCCTGAGCGATGTCCTGCTTCAGGCCGCCGATGTAGCGGTCGATGCGTTCGCTCTCATGCATGTAGCCCACCTGCTCGCATAGCGCCAGAAATCCGCTCGTGTAATCCTGGACGGAACCGAGTTGGCGCCAAGTGCGGAGCTTCTGTCGCGCCGAGATCGAGGCCGCGATTGGCTCGAATCGAGCGCGCAGACCTGCGCACCACGCGTCCCACGTGCGATACTGGGGCACCTCCACGAAATACGACGGCGCCCAGGGTCCGGTTTGTCCTTCCCGTGTCGGTAGTGTCGCGTAGTCGGTCGGCTTCGTGACGATGACGCGCCACCAGTCCATGGCGGGTCCTCGCAGCAACGACACGGCGTATCGAATCTTCGCCGAGTCCTCCGAGACGTAGTTGGCGTCGAAGAAAACATTCATTGTGAATAACCACGCCTGAACGGTAGGACCACCCCGTTGACTCGGGTCAAAGCATGGCGGGCGCTGCGGCTTCAGCGGCATCGGTGACGGCAGTCCCGAATCGTGGGTTGGTGCCGAAATCGTGACGCGAGGCTGACTTGGGGCCGCAGGCGACGCTCTGGGGTGTGTCGTGCCGTGGTCGTCGTCTCCGTCGGGGCGGACGACGCCATCACTGGTCGCGCTCGCGGGTTGCCCCACACTCCCGTGTTGTGATGTTGAGGGTGCGGGTTGAATCGGAGTGCCAGGTGCTTGAGATTGTGCTCTCAGGAGGTCATTTTGCAGTGATGAGCGTTCTGCCGTCAATGCCGCGATTTCCTCGGAGCTTTCGTGCAGTTGTCGCAGCAGATCGTTCAAACGCTCCTGCGTGAGAGTGGTGACGTCGATGTTTTCGGCCATGACGAAGGGCGTCGGCTCGTCTTAGTCTAGGCGCAGTCGTGGCTGCACGCGTTTACGAGAGAACGCGAGGACAGCGGCTCCTAGGGGCTAAGGTGCGTGAGTCCCTTCGAGTGAAAAATCAAAAGTTGATTTCCTGGTGTGCGGAGATGCGCGGTCCGAAAGAAAGGGGCTCTGATAACCAAGTGATACGGGTGCAATGAATCGAGGTAGCGAGAATTGCACTAAGGTGTCAAACGAGTACAAAATGTGAGCGAAGGCATGAGCGAACATTTATACGCGAAACATGCAAAACGGTAACGCGGTGCGTGCGAGCTTGCTAGTGCTACGCTGGAGCGAGGCTCGGGCTAGTCCCGAAGCGTAGGCCGATACGGCCATGCCAGCAGTGCGAGGTTTGGTAAAACAGTGCGCGCGAAGTCGGCGAAGTTCCGTTAGCAGTAACGGGCGAACAATCGGCTGTTGCTGTACGCGATGTAGTCGGCTCCGTAAGGAATGCCGAGAAAATTCCTTACACTATACAACAAGGTTCCACACAGCAAAACTTCGTGCTGATAACGACCACTAACGATAACGACCAATGTTTCTCTAGTTGATGGGAATATCTACAATAGCCGGCTTCTTCGGCTCTGGAGGCTTGAACTTCGGGACAGTCACGGTGAGAACACCATTCTCCGAGGTCGCCGCGATCTTATCCACTTCCACGTTATCAGGAAGACGGAATCGCCTCAGAAACTTGCCAGTGCTCCGCTCCACACGGTGATACTTCTCCGTCTCTTCCTTAACTTCCCGGGTCCGCTCGCCGCTGATAGTCAGCAAATTCTTATCTTCGATCTGAACCTTCACCTCGTCCTTCTTCAGGCCCGGGAGATCCGCGATGAATTTGAAAGCCTCGGGAGTCTCTTTCACGTCAACGGCTGTAGACGCCATTGCGTTGCTGTCTCTCACGAATCTTGATGTCGGAGCGTCGAAGAGAGTGCTGAACTCGTCTGGGATGTGCGACAGCCGGAGAAGCGAGTTAAACAGCGGATCGTTGCCGAACGGTGTGAGCGCCATGGTCTACTCGCGCAGTCGACTGTGAAGTTACTACGAAAAGGCTGATAGCGGGCGAGAAGGTAATAAGAGCGCTGTATTCGTTCAATTCTTGATGGCACTCGGGTTAAACTTCGCATGCTTTATACCAACAGATAGTAGGACCACGGCCAAACGTAGCTCGTTAACAATGTATGAAAGTTCCGGAACTGGCACGGCCGCCATGACTCTAGAATGCATACGATGTGTCTGGAACAGCAGTGCTGGCGTTGAAAGCGCGGCATGTCCAATTGAGTGTAGAGTATAAACGTGGAAGATTCTAGGCGAAGCAGGAAACTGACACTGGCGTAGCTCAAAATGGCGTTGTCGTGCTGGATTGGCACTCGAGGAATTTCTAGATTTCAGCGACGACGAACCTTGCAGAATCAGCCATGGCGACAGGGTGGAGTGACGGGGTTGATGAGTGTGATGTGCACTCTAGAATAATCGCGATGCTAAGCTCACGAGCTGCAGTGTACGCGGTATATGGTCTATCGGAAGCAAAGCACTAAGGCTGAACTCTGCTAGCCAAGTTTCAGAGTACGGCTACTTTACAGCCTCGCTAAGTGAATATAAGGCCAGAAATACAAGCCTGACAAGCTCAACCACAATACCGTTTTAACCCTGGTATGCCCAACACAATTACATACAATGTCTATGCTATGAAAATCAAATGACAGGGCTGGTGCAATAATAGTTGCACCATTGTTTAAACTGTACAAAGCAGCTCCATATTTGAGAAACAACTCTCAGAAGTTGCCATAACGAATTCGCTGCTCTACTCAGGTGCTGTTACGACCAGCCGGAGGGTCAATGTCAAAAAAAACATCGGACCCAAAAGGTCCGTCCAAAAGCATGTCCGAAAAGTCCTCTGCTGAAAACATATCAGCATGTGACGTGGGCAACATGTCATGCGATGACGTGCCATGTGGACCTGAGATGTCCACGTCAGCATCAGCGCATGCTCCATCAGCATCAGCACCATCTCCGCTGTGACTGTCCTTGTCCTGTTGCTCGTGCTGCTTGGTGCGAGGGTGAGGGACAAGGAGCGCGAGTGGGAAAGGGGGAGGAGAAGAGATGGGAGGAACTTGCAGAATGAACTTGTAATCTGTGCCACTGATTAAGGCAACACATAGGTGGTGATCATGGAGAAACGCAAACAGAAAACGGAGAAACAGTCCTGAAAAGAGCACACGCCTCACCTCCTCAATCTCGTCGTTGCGAGCGAATCTCCCTCTCACGCGCGGCCGACTGTCCGCCAGGTTCTTACGACACGCATACTGTTCATGCACACGCCAGGTTGCAACCAATGCACAGAGGTGAAAGCGCAGGGGAAAGCAGGCAGCACGAAGGCCGGGGAAGGGCAGTCAGGAGGAGTAGCTGAAGAGTGGGGAGGTTTTATTGATGGAGGAGCACCACTGGCTGCTGAAGGGATTACATTGAAGAGAGCAGGAAGGGGGATACTCCCAAGATATATTGGAAGAGCAGAGCAGGTGACCTTCGAAGTTAGGTAATGACAAATCGCCTGCAATGCAACCCACCTTGATCTTCTTGGTGAAGTTCCTCTCGTGTCTCTTCTGCCGGTACTTCATGATCCGCAGCCGCCGCTCCTCCAACGTATACCGTCCGATTCGAAACACCCCCATCCCCATTCCCATGCCCATGCCCGCTCCCATGCCCATGCCCATGGCCCCCATGCCCATTGCCATACCCCCCATACCCGCAATACCCATGCCCATGCCCAGTCCCATGCCGGTACGGTCATCAAAGGGACTCATTCCTGCTGCTCCAGGTGGGGCTGCGAGGTGGCCGAAGCCCATGGCTAGAGAGCGCATTGCAGCCAGGGACTGGCATGTTGGTAGGGAGGGGATGTGTGGGGAGAAAAGGGGGAGGGGTGGGGCAAGGGAACGCGAGATGATTGATTGAAGGTAGGGCTAGGAGGTGGCCGAAGCCCATGGCTAGCGATCGCATTGCAGCCAGGGACTGGCATGTTGGTGGGGACAGAGGGCGTGGGAGGAAGGGGGGAGAGGGAAAGGGGAAAAGAGGAAGGGGGGGGGGGGGGGGGGGGCGAAGGGAGGAAGTGGGAAGATTGAGGGAGAGTAGAAGGGATAAGAGGCACAAGAAGTTGGGATGAAAGAGATTCAACTGGAGCTGAGAGTTGGCCGAAGCCAAATTGCAGCCAGGCGCTTGTGTGTTGGTGGAAGGGAAAGTGTGGTGGGTGGGCGGGGGTGGGGTGGCAATGGGGTTGGGATGAATGGGTGCTTTCGAGAACACGAGCAAATGATAAATCATGCGGGAGCGGATAATTCAAGAGGTTCACTGGGCCGAACCTGAATATCTCCTGTGCTGTGCGCTCGTCTCATGCTGCTAAACGACGGCAGCATCGGAGCCCCCATGCTGCCTCCCATCCCTGCTATGCCGCTCATGCCTCCCCCCACGCCTGCGAAATGCCCCCCCCCAAATCCTCCTGTCAAGCCTGCTGCTGCTGCTGCTGCTGCTGCTGTGGTTGCTGCTGCTGCTGCTGCTGACATCCCTGCTCCTGCTGCCTCTGTCATCATACCCTCCCCTACCACACTCATGCCAGCAGCACCAACAGTGCCACCACCAGCAGCAGCGGCAGCAGCAGCACTAGCACTGGCAGCACCAGTAACATACGAGCCTGCTGCAGCAGCAGTCACACCACCGGAACCAGAACCACCACCACCCGTAGAGGCACCTTGCGATCCCATCCCCCCCATCCCGCCCTTCATCCCACCTGACCCTCCCCCTCCTGCAACTAACCCCTCGCCCATGCCCATGACCCCCCCCTCCATGCCCACAGGCATGTGCTGCCCTGCCAGATGCGCCGCTGCTGCTGCTGGGGGGAGCGGCGGGAGGCCGGGCAAATGCTGCATTTGCAGCTGCCCCAACGCATGGCTGCTAAAGCTCCTCTGCATGCTCATCCCCATACCCATGCTCATGTGCATGCCCATGCCCATGCCTGCGCCCATGCCAGCCCCCATGCCCATAGCCCTTCGGGCACGCAGGATGGGGGATGGGAGGGGTTTCAGCTCATCCTCCTCACCATCCTCGCCATCACCAGTTTCCCCTTCGCCACTTTCGCCATTGCTGTGGTTACCATCCCCATCCCCATCGCCATGGCTGCCCACATGCATGATTGGGTTCCCTGCAACACGACGAGAGCTCTCTGCCCCATCGGCCCCTTTCCCTGAGCCCCCAGCACCGGTTGTACCTCCTCGTCCTGCTCCGTCCCTCCCGGCTCCTGCCCCTCCTCCTGCCTTGCCTGGACTTCTTACATCGCCTGCCCCCCTCAATCTCTCTGCCCCTCGGCCCTGTGCCTCCTCCCCTTGCTCCCCTGTGCTCCCCTCTCCACTATGAGTCCCCCCCACACACCCGTTAGCCATCCCTGCCACAGCCCCTGCTACCCGCCCTGTCCCTGCTGCTGCTGTGCCCTGCCTTGCCGCTGCCGCAGCAGCAGATAGAGGAGCCGTGGCAGACGCAGTACCACTGGCATTGGCAGCAGCAGTGGCGGCAACAGCAGCAGCCGCAGCATAAGCAGCAGCAGAGGTACAGGAAGCACCTGGAGCAGCAACCCCGGGTGTAGGAGTGGTATTACGCGCAGCAGCACCAGGAGTGGTAAAACCGGCAGATTGAGTAGCTCCCCCCGCTGCCCCCCCTATCCCTCCCCCTCCCGCCCCCCATTCCCCCATCTCCGCCCCAAGTCTCTGCCACATGTGCGCGTGCCCATCCATATGCCCGCCTGCTGCTGGAGCCGGCCAATGGGAATGCGACAGCTGTCCAGCAGAGGCAACTCGGCGCATCTTAGCATACGGGCCGGAAGCGGCAGCCGCTGCAGCAGCAGCAGAAGCAGCAGACGCAGAAGCAGCCATGGCAGCAGCAGCAGCAGCACTGGCAGCAGAAGTGCCGGTAGCAGCAGGCACAGATGCAACAGAGGGGGAGGCAGGCACAGCCCTACCCAGTCCTCCCACTCCCCCCGACCCTGAACCCACAGCTCTGGACGATGGGCCGGGCAAAGCTGATCGAGGCGAGGGGGGGAAAGGGGAACGAGGTGAGGGGGGCAGGGCGGAGCGAGGGGAGGGCGCTCCTGGTGACTGCGAGGGCGGGTGCGGTGCTGGTGATGCCAGCGATTGCAGCACGATTCCGGCGGGAGAAAGAACCACTGCGGGCGAACCAGGGGGCAAGGAGCGCATGTTGGAGAGCCCTTCATGCAGGCTCACCCCTCGTCTGATTCCCATAGACGGCCTGTGATGGCCCGCTGCCCTGCCTGCTCCTCCGGCTGCTCCTGCTCTTGTCCCCCCTCCTATGGATCCTGATCTAACCACTCTGTGGCTGCATAAATCTGCATCCCCTTCGAACCCTTCTGTCTTTACGAGTTCTCCAGCCCTGCTGCTGCTTGCCCCTCCTGCTGCTGCTCCTGCTCCTGCTGCCCCTCCTGCCCCTCCTCCTCCTGCTGCTGCGGAAGAAGCTGCAGTCGCTGTTGTTGCTTCCATTACAGTTGCTGAGCCTGTAGCAGAAACGGGACTGGATCTCCCTGCTGCACCCACAGCACCAACACCACCACCATCAGCAGCACCAGCAATTCTGCCTGCAACTGCAGCTGTTCTAGAAGGGCGTGCAATGCCAACTGGAAGCGCCGGTAAACCAGGGAGAGACGAAACACCAGCGCCCACAATCCCCGCCCCCATGCCCCCCATCCCCCCCATGGCTCCCATCCCCCCCATGGTCCCCATGCCCCCAATTCCCCCCATGCTTCCCACGCTCCCCACTGAAAGGGGGCGAGGCAACGCAGCGCCAGTGGCGTTTCCAGGGAGCATGCCGGGGGGAAAGACAAAGGGCGGGGGCAGGCCTGGGAGGTTGGGCAGGCCGCGCAAGGAAGGGGGCATGATGGGGCGGAGGGCAGGGAGAGTGGTGCCAGTGGCGGTGCTGGTGGTGGTGGCTGCGGTTTGCATTAGGTGAGATGCCATTGCTGCTGTTCCTGTGCTGCTACCAATAACTGCTGCTCCTGATGCGTCCCCTGGTCCTACTCCTTCTACCCCGCCCACTGGTTGCCCCTCGAGCTGCTCCTGTTTCATCGACTGATTGATGGCACCTTGCATATGTGGTTGTCCTCCTCCTGCCATGTGCCCTTGTCCCCCCGCTGCAATGTGTCCCTGCCAAGATGCCATCTGAAACGCATGTCTGGCCATGGCTTGTTGCTGTGCCGCTGCCTGCTGCTGTGACATCGGTTGTTGTTGCAACATCATTTGCTGCTGTGACATTGCCTGATGCTGCTGCTGCAACATCGCCTGCTGCTGCTGCTGCTGCTGCGTTTCTGCGGCTGCTGCTATTGCCTGACCGCCGTGCCTGCTGCTGTGGGAGACTGACGGACTCATCACCCTCCCTCTCTCCTGAACTTGACCAGCAGATGCAGACGCGGAGGCCGACAGACCAGAGGACGACACATGCTGTTGCTGCTGCTGCTGCGTCTGCAGCAACTGCTGCTGGTGATGGTACTGGTACTGCTGCTGTAGCTGCTGCTGTTGCTGGTGTTGGCGTTGGTGCTGGCGCTGCTGTTGGTGGTGGTTGTGAGGCTGTGTAAGGCCTTGAGCCTGAGACGGCAGAGGCTTGCAGGCCGAAGGAGGAGACGAGCTCATCGTGTGGCTGTCGTTGGAACCTTGAGGTGATGACGTGGCAGCAGCAGCGCCTGCCATGCGCACTCCTTCTACCCTACCCCCTTGCTGCTCCCCTGATTCTGTAACATTCATGTGGTTACCGGCACTCATGGTATTACCACCTTCAAACCCAGCCCCATCTCCGTCCTCCATATAGGCTGGCTCAAAGACCCGTTTTAGATTTGACTTAGCGGTTGGAGTTCTCGGTTTCACCTCTCCTGTAGTCCTCCCCTCAAGCGTCTCACCCTTGTTCTCCCTCCCAGGCACACACATACCAGAGCATGTGTTACCACCACCTGCGTTACAGGTTCCTGCACCTGCCACCAAACCTGCCACCAAACCTGGCACGGAACCAGCTCCGGCACCTCTGGGAACGGCACCACCCGGAGAAGCAGCAGCAGCTTCAGACGCATCAGCAGCAGAACCACCAGCCGCAGCAGGACAAGAAGCAGCACCCGCACCAGCACCGACAGCACCAGCACCTGCACCATCACCAGCAGCAGCAGCACCAGCAGTACCAGCAGGCAGGGGTTGAAGGCCAACGCGAGCCTCGGTGCCATGCACATAAGACTTAAAGACCACGTCGTCGTTGCACAGCTCGTGCTGGCTGGGCGCGTGGACGGCGTCTGGCAGCACAGGGACACCCCCGCCGCCGGACGTCCCCGCGTTTGTAGCAGGACCGGCGTTCGTGGCGGACAGTCCGTTCAATGCGGCGCTCATGGCGGCGAGACCGTCGTCTGCCAGGCCCATGTCGCCCATGGCGTCGAACGTGATGCTCTGCCGTGGATTGGGGGAAAGGATCGGGAGATGGACAGGCAGAGAACGATGAAAAAAGAGTATCAAGAGCCACGAAAAACGGCAAAACTTGATGTCATGGCACGGAGTGTGTGTGATGAAGGCGAGGATACAGTAGAGGGAAAAGGGAAGAAACGAGACCAGGTAAGACAGCGCGAACCTCGCATGCTAGGACTGATGAGGGAGACGGAAGAACGAGGAGGGGGAAACGGATTGGATAAGGCGATTGGGGAAAGTGAGGCGGGAGGAACGAAACGGCGGATGCTGTTGACTCGACTCTCCTAGAGATATGTATACTAAGAATGGCGATGGCTTGTGACTAAAGCGGACGCACCTCAAAGTCTGTCATGGAGAATATGGCGTCGTCAAACTCCCCTTGCAGGAAATCCGCTTTCGCCGAATCAGCCATGGTTATTTCGAAGCTTCAAGAATTTGTTATGAGGAGCCCTAGGCGACAATGAGCTCTGAACGATGACGAGTTGATTTCGAGACGCTGGCTGATAAGGGGCTTTGGCTGACAGGTATCTCTGAACGTTAAGCTGTGAATGATAAGCGGATTCTGAACGTTAAGCTGAAAAGGTGAATGGTAGGTCCGAACGTTAAGCTGAAAACGTGAATGGATGCTCTAAACGTTGAGCTAAAAAACGTGTTCTGACGGAAAGGAGCTCTGACTGAGATGTGGCGGGTAAGGAGGAGGCCTGACTGATGGAAGCACTGAATGATAGGAACCCCTGATATATAAGTAGCTCTGACTGACTAAGAGGTTGGAATGACTTAGAAGCTCGTAACGATAAGGAGATTAATACCGGCTTCTACAGCTCTAGCAATTTCGTCTTCAAGAGGCTAATTGTTTGGGGGAGGTTCGGCCTAAAGGGGCTTCTAAGAAGACCGACCGTATAACGGTTCCTGATAACGAACTACACGTGTCAGAAAAAGTGTAGCACACAAATTAGGGTGCTCGTGCGCCAACCAAAAGGACTAGGATGGGAAGAAAGGAATTGTTGGCTACGGACACTGGAAGAGGAGTGTCATGTCATCAGATTGTTCAGTTAAGCTGCAGAATTCCGAAGACGTCCCAACTTAATAAGGCAACTTGAGCAACCTTAGGAGCCAGCGCTGTTTCGAGGAAACAGGACAACTAGTCAACAGTCGGTCTTATACCCTGAAGTGACGGATGGTATCGGAGTTTTGGAAGCTAAGATTGGACCTTCCTGGACTGGTGCATCTGCAGCCCCTGACCCCTTCCCAGCTGTTCAAATTTGGCTCTGTAGCTCGATGGTACCAAACCAAATGACAGGGACAGCAGCACATCGGTAGTAGCAACACACAGCAGGGGCATTTGCAGGACGAGGTGGAAGAGAGCTCGTGAGAAGAGCTCTTTTCGACGAAGGCAGTTGTTGCAGGCAGTTCAAAATATCAGTAGCAGCTTTATTTGGAGGAGCAGAAAGCTTTCGACAAGCTCGAGGTAACAGCTTCGCCTGGGGGTTTCTCATTCGCACCTCCCTCGATTCTGTCATCAATTGTGTCTGGACGTCCGAAATCCCTTGTTTACATCCGATTCCGCTCGTTATCGTAACTTTCTCCAAGCGTATCTGTGTTTCCTGAAAAGGGCGACCCTTGCCAGACCTGTCCACCTCGAGGAAGGCAGAGGGTGTTGAAGATGCGAAGATGCCACGTCATCCTTTCGCTCTCGTCATCCTCCCCTTTTTGCAGCCATGGAACTTTCCAAAGCTGGAGCTGTGGAAGGTTTGCACAGTAAAGTTCCCTTTTCTCTACAATCCAATAGCAGACAAAGAAAAGCACTGTACGATATCAACAGTGCGTCACTGAGGATGCCAAATCAGCGGCTCGAGCACAAGAAAAAGCTGGAAAGACTACTTCTGATTGGTTTACAATTTGTTAAGTATGCGGCAGAGAACAGTTGATTGCAATTTGACAAAATTCGTGCTGAATGTCAAGATCTACACTCTACAGTAGGAGTTACAAATTATTTTCTTATAAACGTTTTCCAAGACAACTGGCTATAGGTGGTTAGAGATTTTTGGTAGACCATGAGACAATCATCAGTTGGCACTAATCTGGGCCTCCCTTTCCTTCACAAGCTTGGCGTATTCGTCACGGCTTGATGCGATCAGTTGCTTCACAGTGTCATACGTTGTCAGGCGAATGCTGCCAGCCATTACAAGAAAAAACGGGGGGGGGGGGGCGGAGGGGCAAGTTGGGTTGCTAGTCTGTGCTAAAAGCTCAGAAGTTATATTAAACAGCAACACAATCACACAGCAGCACAAGCAAGCAGCCACCCACCTGCTGTTAAAAAGGTCCTAGAGGACAACGAAGCATCTGTACGGCCCAACCACGCCATCCCTCGCAATGATGCCCAGAATGGCATCAAACACTGAGGAGAAGGGCGACCCCTTCATACAGAGGGGTTGGTATGTATGGCACCCCCTCAGCAGCAGCACAAGCAGGCAAACACCCACCCACCTGCTGCAAGAAGGTCAGGAAGGTTCTCACCTGCTGTTAGGAAGGTTCTTGAGCGCGTTGGCAATAAAACCCCGGTACAGCCCGACCACTCCATCCCTCGCAATGATGCCGGGAATGGCGTCAAACACCGAGTTGAAGGGCGACCCCTTCATCTGCATCTGCCGCCGCACCGTGTCGAGCGGGTAGCACATCACAGTTGCAAACGTGGTGGCACAGAGGGCGGTCACAAAGGAGGCCTGCGGGGTCTTACGGTACTTCTCAGGGATCGAGCGCTTGATGCTGCATAGGTGGGGGGAGTGGAATGAAAGGCAGAAGGAGAGAGGGGGGGGGGACAGGTGGAAAGGGTCGAGGAGGAGGTGTTCAGGTTCAGGACGTGGTGAGGGCCAGTGCAAGCAAACGACACCACATCCTGGGATGAGCACTACGGAAGGGATGGGGTGGAAGGGGAGTGATGGAGCTGGGATGAGCTGCATATGAGGGCACAAGCGTCATCAGAATTTACTCACACGTTGCTGACACATAGGCTTCAGAGCTCACAGTCACATATGGGAAGGGAGGGAATCACAGGTCAAACGCGCAGAAGTTGAGAGCGATGTAGGGCGCGATGGAGATGAGGGAGGGCGCGAGGCCCTTGTAGAACGACAGCACGCCCTCCTCGCGGATCATGCCCATCGCCACCGAGCGCATTCCCCTTGATGCCGGATCCACGGCCAGGCGCAGCCTCAGAACGTCCAGGGGGTACGTGATCTGAGGGGTGGAGGTGCGAGAGGAGACATGGGGGAGAAAGGAGGGGGTTGGGTTGGGTGCACGGGTACTACTAGCTACAGCACGCCCTCCTAGCCCAGGGGCCAGGGCTACTGAAAGCATGCCCCTTGACGCCGGATCCACAGCCATACGCAAACGCAGCACGCCCAGAGGGTAGGTGATCTGGGGGATGGTGGAGGGGGGAGGGGGGAGGGGGGAGGAGAAGAGGGAGGAAGTGGGGGAAGGGAAAGGTGGGACAGCAGGGGGAAGGGGGGGAAAGAGGAGGGGGGATTCAGGGGAGGAGAGGGGAAGGATGCGGTTTGGAGAGGGGTGAGGACATTGCATGTAAGGACATGGAATAAAAGTGAAGACAATAAAAATAAGAGTGCATAGAACATGTGCCATGGGATGCACACACCAACTGGTACTGACGTCATGCCAGCACACACGTACCAGTGTTGACGTCATGCCAGCACATGCGCCAGCTGCCAGCCTGGCAGGCACCGAGAGCTCCCCGTCCTTGCCCAGGAATGCCTTCTGCTCCACCCCATACCCGTTATAAGCGCATGAAGACGGACAGAATGGGGAAGAACAAAGAAAAAGGTTACAAAAAAGACAAACAACGAGCTTCAGCAGTTCCGAGTTATTACAGGCAACAAGCTCTCATGCCAAACGCAGTTCCATACTGTGGAATGAAACGAAGATGAAACGTACCTTGTACATTTCATATGCGAAGAGCTGAACTGCACTGTAGGGAATGATACGGATGACCTGAAGAGACGGGACCATAGGGGGACGACGCAATGCGTTAGGGCGGAACGCAAGAAAACACAAAAGTTACAAAAAAATATATGTGCACGCTGAAAACACTAAGTAATCAAATCGGCATGAACAAATGACTTCATAAAGTTATGTCTGCACACACACACACACACACACACACACACACACACACACACACACACACACACACACACACACACACACACACACACACACACACACACACACACACACACACACACACACACACACACACACACACACACACACACACACACACACACACACACACACACACACACACACACACACACACACACACACACACACACACACACACACACACACACACACACACACACACACACACACACACACACACACACACACACACACACACACACACACACACACACACACACACACACACACACACACACACACACACACACACACACACACACACACACACACACACACACACACACACACACACACACACACACACACACACACACACACACACACACACACACACACACACACACACACACACACACACACACACACACACACACACACACACACACACACACACACACACACACACACACACACACACACACACACACACACACACACACACACACACACACACACACACACACACACACACACACACACACACACACACACACACACACACACACACACACACACACACACACACACACACACACACACACACACACACACACACACACACACACACACACACACACACACACACACACACACACACACACACACACACACACACACACACACACACACACACACACACACACACACACACACACACACACACACACACACACACACACACACACACACACACACACACACACACACACACACACACACACACACACACACACACACACACACACACACACACACACACACACACACACACACACACACACACACACACACACACACACACACACACACACACACACACACACACACACACACACACACACACACACACACACACACACACACACACACACACACACACACACACACACACACACACACACACACACACACACACACACACACACACACACACACACACACACACACACACACACACACACACACACACACACACACACACACACACACACACACACACACACACACACACACACACACACACACACACACACACACACACACACTCACAGAGACAGACAGACACAGACGACCTAGATATTACCTACCCCAGTGACCACCCAGGCGACGCACCTGCGGCAAGTTGCCCTTCCAGTAGCCCAGCACGCCCTCCTTCTGCCCGATCGCTAGAAACGACTGCTCGCGCAAAACAGT